GCGGGTGTTAAAGGCAGGAACGGGGCTGTGTTGCATGGTGACCTGGCAGCCCTCAGCTCAGATCCTCATGCTTCGGGCAGCTGGGTCCTTGTCGGACTAAACCTGCCACCTCCAGGTTTGTGGTCGTTTGTCCCCTATTAATGTCGCCACGTACTGAGGCGCCACTTCCGTGACAGGCATGGTGCTGGGACTTCTGGGCATTTTCTCCTATGTGCTCACAATAGCCCTTGGACAAGGTCCTTCCACTAATAATCCCCATTTGAGAGAGAAGGTTAAGAGACTACGAAGGGTCTTCCAGCAGCAGGGACAGAGTAGGACTCCAAGCCCTCAAGCAGTTCTTCATCCTCTACAACCGACCATGCCATGCTTGGGCGTCAGGAAGCCCCGCCATGAGGACTAGGCATATGGAGGCCCAGAGGCGAAGGGCTTACCCGGGACACACAGCAGCTGGACCACTCCGAGGTTCGTTCACCGCCCCCCCAGAGCCCTTGGCACCCACCTCAGCACAGGCAGGCACCAGGCATCCCCCCAAAAACATCCCCTGCCCTTCCTTCCTGCCTCAATACCCTGACCCGTGTGGCCCGAGCTTTTACAGTGCCCTCCCCCAAACACAGACCTACACACACATTCCTGACTGTACCTGTGCGCACACACACGCCCACAAGCACACCCACATACTTATACACACACAAATGCTCACAGACATGAGTGGGGCAGCGCACCTGCACATGCAGTGTCACATGCACATGTGCACGCATCCATATTCTCGTTTAAGGGCACACATCCTGATCAAAGGGGCAGAGTGGGGCGGTGGAGGGGGGAGACTGGGCTCTGAGGCAGGACTGCCTGTGTTTAGCTCCTTCCTTCACCACTTACTAGCGGAACGGTCTTGGGCACATTACTTAGTTTATTAGCGCCTCAGTTTCCTCATCTGAAAAATGGGAATAATAATAATACATATCCCATAATATTAAGGGAAGTAGATGAGTTCATATATGTAATATATTTAGAACAAGCCTGACACTTAGTACTTGATGTTTCTTGTAGTATACACATGTACTCACATAATCCCAAGTACACTCACCGACACATATGTGTACCCACATGCACATCCTACACATGTGTACATGCATGTGTGTGCAAACACACAAGCACACACATTGGCAGGTGTATGCACATGTACACACACCCACGCTTCCCCCACCCCCAGGCCTTACCAAAGGATCACCTTGCCACCGTTGTCTTTGGGCCAGGCCACTACGCACTTGGTGGCTCCCTGGTCCATGATGATGGTGGAGTAGAAACACTGGGGAAAGGCGAGGGCCAGGGCCACCAGCCAGATGCCAGCAATAACCGCTCTGGTGCCAGGGGCTGAGAGCCGTGGCTGGAAGGGGTGGACGATGGCTATATACCTGTGAGCAAGGGACAGTATAAGCAGTGGGCGCCTTCCTGTCACACCAGCCCCTCCTGCTCCCCCACTGCAGGCCCTCACCCTCGAGCCCCGTTCCCCACATGCTGCTGGTGACCTGCAGAAAGACAGCGGGGCTGCTGGCTTTCCCACAGCCACATGGCACACTGTGGCCTAAACCCCAGCCCAGACCCCCAGTACAATGCCTCCCTCTGAGAATGGACTTGCTCTCTGTGGCCACAAGAGAGCAGTGTGGCCATATTGGAAGTCCATCTCCGGACATTTGTCTGAAGCTCAGCCCTAGGCCAGTCCCTCTTCTGCTCAGAAACCTGAGCAGAGCCCAACAGTCCCCTGGACAGAGCCCACAGTAGCGCTGCCGCCAGCCTTCTGCAATGGTGGAAACGCTCTCTGTATGCACTGTCCTGTTCGGGCAGTTTTAATGAGTTAGAACTTAAATAGGCACATATGGCCACAGCTCCGTTATCAGACAGCACAGGCCCACACCTTTAAACGCGGCATTCAATGCCCTCTGCACGTGGCCAGTGCACTGTCCAGCACCTTCCTTGGCTCCCTCTGGTGGTGGAACAGCCTGCCTGTGTGACCCTCTGCGGTATAGCACACAGGATGATGAAGACAGTCAGTTACACTGAAATACCATCATTAAAAAATAAAATAAAGTTGGGGCATAGTAATGTGTTCGCTTCTTTATCCATCCACTAAACAACAAGATCTACCAGCAGTCTGGAAACTATGGTGATTTTGAAGTAGTGATTGATGAGTGTAGGCGATACTTTGAGATTTCTGCACAACAGAAGTACCTGTGATACCGGTATGTATTGGTGACAGTCCCAGGCCCTGCTGGAGTCCCAGCGAACTGTGGTGTGCTGCCTACATTGGTAACTGCGACCCCCTCCAAATTCATGACCCCTCATATTTCGCTCTCAGTCCACGGTCACAGCTGGTGCACCTCTGGACTAGATGACTATTGACCAGCCCTGCCCACCCTGTGACACTGACCTTCTCCCTGGACTGTGGCCTGGCCCCGGGCCAGACCTACCCCTCCACAGCCCGGACCCAGGCCGAGTACCTTAGCAGGAGAAGTAGGCCATGTTCCTCAAGGTTCATCTTTTTTTTTTTTTTGGCCCTTTTGTCTTTTAAAAAATAAATATATTATTTTTTTATTTCAGAGAGGAAGGGAGAGGGAGAGAGAGATAGAAACGTCAATGATGGCAGTGCCCTCGGCGGTCCCGGATCTGTCTCTTGCTTCAACAGAGATTGGACCGGACAGACCCAGGGACGCCCCTTCTTCCAGCCTCTGGTCACCCTCCTGTTTCTTACCAGTCACCACCTTCAGAAGCACCTCTGGGACCAGCCAGCACACCGTTTTGTTTGTTTGTTTTTCCTACCTTAACTCCTTATTGCCGAACAACCATGTGCTCCCAAATTAGTCAGAATTATTCCACCGAGGAGGAGGCTGTGGTCCACCGCCTGGCCAGCCTGCCTCTGCGGCCCCACACCGCCCTCTCTCAGGGCTTCTATTTCGACCACAACGGTGTAGCTCCGGGGTGGGGGTGGCGGGGGAGCGGGGGCCACTTCTTCCCGGAGGTGGCGAGGAGAAGCACGAGGGCCCTGAGCGTCTCTTAAAGCTGCAAAACAAGCGCAGAGGCCGCGTTCTCCTCCAGGACGCCCTGAAGCCGCCCAAAGTGAGTGGGCAAAACTCAGGACGCCATGGAGCCACCCTGGCCTTGGAGAGGAACCAGAACCGGCCCTTTGGATCTGCAGGCCCTGGTTCTACCCGCACAGACCCCTGTGACTTCCTGCAGAACCACTTCCGGGGTGAGGAGGTGAAGCTCATCAAGAAATGGGCGACACCTGACTCACCCCGCAGGCTGCTGGCCCCAGGTTGGGCTGGGGTGGGGGGTTGGGGGGGCTCGGCCTGGCTGGGTGAGAGTCTCTTCAAACGGCTCATCCTCAAGCACAACTAGGAACCTTCGGAGCCCAGAGGCCTTTGAGGGGCCCCTCTGCATCCCCTGGTGTCTGGCTTTTGCCTGAGCCTCGCCTCAAAACTACTAGCCATTCTTTTAACACCCTGAAGCCCTCTCCCGTGCATTGGATCAATAAACAATAAAGCTTTTTGCAGCCAGAAAGAAAGAAAGAACAAGAAAAAGAAATCAATGATGAGAATCATTGATTGGCTGCCTCCTGCACGCCCCCTACTGGGTGACGAGCCCACAATCCAGGCATGGGCCTCAAACAAGAATTGAACTGTGACCTCCTGGTTCATGAGTTGATGCTCAACCACGGAGCCACACTGGCTGGGTCCTCAAGGTTCTTGAGGATTCTGCACCCCCATCGATGACGTAGGTGACCATAGTCAGCGGGTGGGCTTAGGTGTCCTTCCTGCTCTAGCAGGTGGGGTGGGAGAGGAGGGCTTTTCTTCGTGGTCTATTACAGAGGAGCGGCCTGGGACAGTAGGACCGGCCTCACGTATTATTTATTACTTATTTATCTGTTATTTATTATTGACTTGGCCTTGCCCTGAGCTGTATGCCTTGAGGTCTGGGGCATGAAGTTAGCAGCCGACTGTGCCAAGAGCATTTCCGCCCGGACTTGGTGAGGACTCGCTCTGTGCTGCTCCTCACGCCCCCCAGGCATGCTCCTGCCTCGGGCTGTGGCTGCTGCTGCGCCTGCTGCCTGGAACATTCCTTCCCCAGAGCCTGGGAAGCTCATTCTCTGGCTTCCCTTCTGTCTGCTCAAATCCTACCCTCACAACAAGTCCAGTTCTGACGCCCTGTCTAACACTCCAACCTGCCCCCACCCCAACACACACCCCCTAGCACCTCGGGCTCCCTTGCCCCTTCCTAACATTCCCCGTAGCCCAGCTGGAGTCCGGCGAACTGGGACTCCACATGCCGTAGATAATTTATTTATGCCTGCATTTATTATTTAACTTCTCACCGGGCAGGCATTTTTCTCTGTTCTTCCCGTCGCCCTTCAATGCCCAGAACAGTATCTCTACATAGTAGGCATTGAACGTATGAATGAATGAAGAAATGAATGGACAAGTCTCCACTCTTACCACCCTGACCAGAGCCACCCTCCTCTCTCACCTGGATTACTATTCAACAGCCTCCTGCCTGGTCTCCTGGAAGTTTTAAAAAGGACGTTTTTATGAGGTCATTTGGGGACTATTGTCTCCTATTGCTATATATTCCCAATGCCTGAAATAGACAACACACGCAAAATACTTGTTGAGTAAAAGGAAGAAAATCTTAGGGGGACTTTCAGTTACATCCGGGGGGTATTAAGGGTCTTTTTTGTGGTGGCAGTGGTGTGTGTGTCTGGATTCCAGTCACTCGGCCCTGCCCTTGACTTGCTGGCTGACCGCAGGGGATCCTGCACATCTCTCTAGCCTCAGTTTCCCTGGATGAAAAATTAGAACGTGTGTCTAGATCAGCGGTTCTCAACCTGTGGGTCATGACCATTTTGGGGGCCGAACGACCCTTTCACAGGGGTTGCCTAAGACCATCAGAAAACATATATATAATTACATATTGTTTTTGTGATTAATCACTATGCTTTCATTATGTTCCATTTGTAACAATGAAAATACATCCTGCGTATCAGATATTGACATTACGATTCATAACAGGAGAAAAATCACAGTTATGAAGTAGCAACGAAAATAATTTTATGGTTGGGGGTCACCACAACATGAGGAACTCTATTAAAGGGTCGCGGCATTCGGAAGGTTGAGAACCACAGGTCTAGATGAATAGTCTTAAAACTTTCTTTTTGTTGTTAATTAGTAGAAACAAATTTCTCAAATGAAGTCTTCAGAGAAACTAGAATAAAACAGCCAAGAGCAGAGAAGTGAGCTGCTGTAGGTGAGGGGTTGCTGAGGTAGTTAGGTTGGGCTGGGGGACCGTGAGCCGCATCAAACCGTCCTGATGAGGCACCTGCGTCTCCGAGGGTCCGGGCTCCCACCCTGCCTCCCACACGTCTGGTGTCTTTCCTCTGTTTCCTTCTGTTTGTCTCATCCACACTCCCCCAGGGGCACACAGTCCCCTCTGCATTCACACCAGGCCCTGCTTGCCCCAGCGCCCGCGTTACAAGGATCTCGTATCTGCCCACTGATCACTCCTCCATCCCTCCCTGACCCCTTCAGCAGAAGTCAGCCTGCAGCCCCTGACAGCAGCCACGGGAAAATACTGGTCTCTGTGTAATGGTATGCTATCTGCATGCAATATTAAATTCCCACCTCGTCTAATCTCTCTAGGAGTAGGAAAACCGTATGAGCAATTTTCTTGTAGTAAAAGACAGACCCCAAAGCGAAGAGCAACTTCAGAATAGAACACTCCAGAAAGTTCCTTAAACACTGCGACTCTTGCCCTGCCTTGAACAACCATCTGTGTGAAGTTCTCTCTGAGTGTAGCCTTCACCGCACCTGCTTCAGCCCCACAGTCCCCTGCCTTCCCGATGCTTAGGTTTGGATCATGACCAGGTTGGGAGGCAACTCCCTGGGTTCAGTCACCAGCCCGTCTGAGCTCCCGCAGCGCGAGCCGGCTCCCCCCAGCTTCCCCCAACCCCCTCCGCCTCTTGCCTGTCTGCGGCGATGGCGGTCATGGAGTAGATGCTGACGAACATGACCGTGACGGGGAAGAGGTTCTGGAAATAGCAGAAGGCGCGGCCGAAGTACCAGATGTTGTGGCTGGCGTAGACGAAGTTGAAGACAGCGTTGAAGGCAGCCATGCAGAGGTCGGCCAGGGCCAGGTTGACGATGAAGTAGTTGGTGACCGTGCGCATCCTCTGATGGGCCAGGATGATCCAGATGACCGTGGCGTTGCCCGTCACGGCCACCAGCACAAGGACCAGGTAGGCCGCAGCCCACAGTGCCAGCTGCCAGCCGGGCATGGAGAAGGCGGTGATGCCCGTGGTGTTGCTCTCAAGGCCAGAGGAGATGTTGGCATCAGTCTCCACAGCACAGGTCCCCATGGCTGCCTCTGGGTCTGGCTCCTCAGCTCCTTCCGCAGCCCGGTGCCATCGGAGAGAATCCTCTGGGCGTGAGCATCTGGGGGAGAGAGAAGTAGGCGCAAACCCAGGCACGTCAGGGAAAGCCGGGGTCACTCCCAAGTCTCAAGCGGAGATGAGTCGGGCTGAGGGAGAGCTGGTTCCAGGGCCATTGGCATTTCAGCTCCCCGTGTCCTGGCCAGACGTCTGCGACGGCACCTGGAACTCTAGCGTCCGAGACACGGCTTCAGAGCAGGCGATGTCCTTGCAAATGATCAGTCAGTCACTGCTTCACTGCAGAGATGGAAAAACAGATTCCAAGGGGAGGTGACCATGTGACCAGCCCAAGTCTCTCAGGACGTTGGTGACCAGCCAGGACGCAAACCCAGGTCCCCCCTAATATTATTCAGGAACCGGCCTGAGTCAGATGAGCATACAGCAGCAGTCTTCGATTCCACAGGTCAGCCGCTGTCCCCCCAGGCTTCGGGGTGCAGGCCGGGCTGCCAGCCCGCGGACCGCCGCCTTCCCCGCTGCTCCCCCGTGCGGGGCGGCCGAGGGCCTTGGCAGAGGTGCTGCCTGCTCATGAGATGGGGCTCTGGCTCCCGCCCCTCGTCCCAACCCTGCGTGGATGGCCCAGCCCTGTCTCTTGAGGAAACATTCAGGACTGGTTGCCAGGCAGGGAGGAGTGGGGGTGGCGGGGTGGGGGCTGGCATGAAGGGCACAGGCCTCAGTGGGGTGTTTATATTCAGCCCAGGCGAGGAGCTACATGTCGAACGTGATGAGGAGCACGTACTTGGGAGCCAGACTGGGTGAGAGTCAGCCCCAGTGATGCCAGGCAAGTCTCTTAACTTCTTGGAACATTAGCTTTCCCGGCTCAAAGGATCAAAGGATCGGGGGGAAAGCGTCCACCTCGCGGCACACAGCCGGTCCCTGAATGATGTTATTTTGTCCCGTGTTGTTTCATCATAACATTAATGAGATGCGTGGGAGTTTAACTCTGTTTATATCAGTTAGCTTATGGTTAAGCTTTTTTTTATCATGCATCATTTTGCTTAAAGTTTCAGATGATGTTAAATGAAGACTATTGTCTTTGTGAGTTTTAAATGAGATACTGTGTGTAAAGTCTGTTTAGCATAGGGGCCACCCTCACCGCCCCCTCAAAAGCTCGGGGCTCTGCAGGAAGGAGAAGACAGAACTCAAAGCATTTCTAACCAGTTCCTAGGTGACGCTAATGCTGCTGCCCCCGCGACCTCAGTTAACCCCTCTCAGAGGACAGAGGACAAGGTCAGGGCTCGCTGCCTCTCCCGTGAGTCCCGGAAGGACTGGCTGGGGCTGCTCTGGGTTTGCCCACGGGAATCTGCTCTTGGTTGTTGACTGTGTGCACGTGTGGGCGCTGAGCAGGGCAGCTAACTCCCAGGCAGCCGGAATTTGTCTGCTCACATACACCTGGGAGGCGGGGAGCGTGTCCCTCATTCCGCAGAGGCCAGCTCGCACTCACCAGCACCGCTGGCCGTGCTGTGCTGAGCGTGCGCTCGTGTCCTGGAATCCAGCCCTGCGCCTTGGGGAGGGTCCCTTCTGCCCCGTGGGTGTGTCATTATGCGGCTCTTGGGACTCCTGCCCTCCCCTCGTCAGCTCCAGGCACACCTGGCCCAGTCCTGGCCAGGCCAACGGGGCAGAGGCCTGTTCCTCTGGAGAAAGCCACCAGCCTGTCCTGGCCTAAGGGCTTCTGCCAGCATCCAGAGCCCTGGGGCTTATCTGTGTCTCCTGCTCTGCGGCCAGGGCTCCGAGGCAGACCGTGTGGGAGCAGGATGTAGCAAAGGCAACCTCTCTCTATCTGCTCCCAGGAAGCTGAATTTGCTGAGCTTCAGGTGCCAGCACAGTGCAGGGCTGGCACCCTCGTGAGCGTGTCACCAGTCACAGAAGCCCATGATAGTACAAATTCCCCATCATCCTGCCACCGCCATTGCATATGTCACCGGGGTTCTATGACGCTCTTGACGGCTAGTCTTTGTTAAAAGAGAGAAAAGGTCTGAATTCCTTTAGCTCCTGTGGGCACATGAAGACGCTGGTTTGCTCATGGAGGTTTGTGTGTGGGACGGCCCTTCCACCAGGAAGTGGAGGGGAAGGGCTGGCCCTCGGTTCTGCCGGGATTGGATGAGCTGATGGCGCACAGGGAGCCTCTAGGGCAGTGGTTCTCAACCTTGGCTGCACATTAGAATCACCTGGGAATCTTTTTAAAATCCTGATTTCTGAGCCTCATCCTCCGGAAACTCAGTTTCTTTGTTACTAATGTTGTGGCCCCACCCCATAACAAAGAAACAGAATTTCTGGAGGATGAGGCCCAGAAATCAGGTTTTTAAAAAGATTCCCAGGTGATTCTAATGTGCATTCAAGGTTGAGAACCACTGTCCTAAGACTTCCGTTCAGCCAGCTTTCCAGGAGTTCTGGATGATTTTTTGTTCTGTATTTTAGTTGTAGTTTTGATGTGGTTGTGGGACAAAGTGAGTATAGTCCCTAGCGTACACCGCCATCTTGGATCTCCTCTCCCGTAACATTTCTGAATTCAATTCTTCTTTTATCTTCACCTGAATAGTGAGAATATTTTTTCCATTGATGTTTTTTCTAAGAGAGAGAGAGAGAAAGTGAGAGGTAGAGAGAGAGAGAGAGAGAAAGAGAGAGAGAGATATCAAATGGTTGCCTCACACATGTGCCCCCACT